GGGCATTGGGGACATTCCCTATGGGATCAGCTGGAAATGGGTAACGGGGACATTCCCTATGGGATCAGCTGGAAATGGGCATTGGGGACATTCCCCAATAGGATCAGCTGGAAATGGGCATTGGGGACACTCCCTATGGGATCAGCTGGAAATGGGCATTGGGGACATTCCCCAGTGGGATCAGCTGGAAATGGGCATTGGGGACATTCCCTATGGGACCAGCTGGACATGGACACTGGGGACATTCCTCAGTGGGATCAGCTGGAAATGGGCATCGGGATGTTCCCCAGTGGGATCAGCTGGAAATGGGCACCAGGGACATTTCCCAGTGGGATCAGCTGGAAATGGGCACCGGAATGTTCCCTAGTGGGATCAGCTGGAAATGGGTAACGGGGACATTCCCCAGTGGGATCAGCTGGAAATGGGCATTGGGGACATTCCCTATGGGACCAGCTGGAAATGGGCATTGGGGACATTCCCTATGGGATCAGCTGGAAATGGACATCGGGAATGTTCTCCAGTGGGATCAGCTGGAAATGGGCAGTGGGGACATTCCCCTGTTGGATCAGCTGGAAATGGGTATTGGGACGTTCCCCAGTGGGATCAGTATGAGGGACTGTTTCCTGACATCCTTCCATATGAAGGAACAGGACAGGCTGTGTACCCCAGCTCTGCCCAACTCTGGTGCTTTCATGGCACTGGTTTGATCACTGTTGGCACATCTCATCTCCTGCTGGCTCAAAGGGATCCAGAAGAGAACAGGGAAAACAGCCTTTAGCTCTACCTGATGTTTGTTTCCCTGTGTTCGGAGAAAATTCCCATTACAAATGGAACTTGAACCTCTTGGGAAAACTTCATAATGCCAATTGCCACCACTGGTGACTGGCTCTGGGTGCCATGTGAGGACCCAGCTCCCCTCAAGGGCAGCAGAACCTTTCCCAGGATCACACCTGACCTGTGGGAGCGCATGGATTTGCAGCCAGATTTCCAGAGCCCTGGGCTAAGCTATCRAGTGTTACACAACCATCCCGTTTAAGTGTTCCCAGTTCTTGTGCCAGGGAAATTCTTYTTGCAGGGCTCGTGCACTCCTCGGGCAGCATACCTGGCATAGGCAAGGCACATACCAGCCCCATCCCTGCTCACGAGTGCCTGGTGTGAACCCTTGTGCAACTCTCCCCTGTCATCCCTGCAATCCCAGCTCTGATCTGGGAGCTGTTTCTGATCCAAGTATTCCTGCCTGGGCTCTTCTGCTCCTTTCAGGGGTTCAGCCCCAGCACACAGGGAGTTGACACTGCTGACAGGATGGGTCTGGGGTGGTTCAGCTGCCTCCACTGCTTCCCGAAAACCTCACAGCCCATCCCTGTCCTTACACATGAAAATACCTCAACAATCTGTCCCCACGCCTCTTATCAAAGGAAGGTCAAATGTGAGGGTGTGAAAGGCAAGAAAAATAATTCAGTTCTCCCTGAGCCCTCGTGCAGACACCAGGATGGCAGGGCTGGAGCAGGATGGGGTGGGTGTGAGATCCTGGACAATTCCAGCGTAATTCCAGTGTCCCTGGGATGGACACGGTGGCCTTGCAGATAAAGGACTGTGACAAAGTGAAGGTTCAGTCCCTGACCGATTCCACTGCCCCTCTTCAGGGTCCTGGAGCCCTGGGCAGCTCCCAGGTAACGTGCTGGTGGTTGGGAGAACCTGATTCCAAGTGTGGAGCTGAACATCTGGAAAGCTGACCATGAATTCAGTGGGAAAAGCTTCTCTTCAGCTTTCAATTTCTTCCAACAGGTCTTGGTTTTTACACAAACCTCTTCCCACAGTACAGAGCATTCACTCACCTCCTCCTGCTCCAGCCTGTGCCCTGATGTAAGGGTGGCAGAGACTGAAAGTGCCCACAGAGGCAAGAAGGGCTCATTCTTGTCTTGTCTAGTGGAGACCATGCAGAATTTTTAAAAATTTGATCTTGATTGGTCCTTTCCAGCTCAGAATATTCTGTGATTYTGTGAAAWGCTGCAGCAGCAGGAGACAGGTTCATGAGAGTCACTGTTGCCTCTGGAACCTGCTCATTCCTTGAGGAGAGGAGAAAGCAGATCTCGGCTTGCGTGACATCTGGGCTCCGTGTTTGCGGCACTTTTGCCACTCCTTGGTGCTGGAAGACTTGCCAAGGTCTTGAGCAAATATTTGAGGTTTAACCACAGGTGATAAGAGGAGCAAAGGCAGAGAAGTAGGAGGTAAAAGGCCTCATGAGCCTGGTGCACAGATGCTTGTCAGTTCTTTAAAGGACAATTAAAATCCCAGTTTCTTTCTCCTTTTGAGAAGGCATTGATAAAAAGCGTCTGGCCAGGAGCTCAGGACAGTTTGTGCCCTGATAGCAGGACACGTGGCCACAGAGCTGGTGTGAGGGTGGACACTGGAGGAGCTGCTGCTGGCAGTGAGGCTGTGCTGGCTCTGTGTCCCCATCGGGGACCAGCCCTCCTGACTCACCCAGTGCCTCCTTGGGGCTCCTGGCTGGCCGTGTTTATCCAATTC